GCTTTCTGATGACAGGAAAGCAGTTGGCGCCCTCCTAAAGAGAGTAGTTAGTTTTCAGTAGTTAGTTTGCGTGTCTTTCCACCTGAAAGTAATTGTATTGCTTCTCTCAGTCAAAGGTCAGTACCCAGTGTACATTTCAATGGCAGAAATACAACATTAAATGGTGACGCATGTACAAGCATCGTTACATTGAGCTCATTAAAAAAATGTTTATCGATGGCAGCAATGTCTCTATGAGAAAGAACATAAAAGTAAAGATTGTAAGTACATTTTGTGGGCGTGCTTCTTGCAAAACAGCCTTCTAATTTCGTGAAACCGAAAACACTGCGTTCACAATAAAGTCGAGCATGTATGTGAGGCACTTTCAAGCTATTTTGTAGTTTTAGCCCGAGACAGCCCCGCATCCTCGTTGAATTGCATTGTAATGCAAATTAGAAAAACTGACCGTGAAAAGGACTATTGATAAATAACCTTTGAAATCGATGTCAACTTACCGATTATCTCCTCGACCTAAGAAGTGTAAAGAGAAATAGCCATTTAATTACGAAAAATTTCGAGGATTACCTCACGAGGCAGGCTATACAGAATCTGCCACAAATTCCTCAGCAACTGGCCATGCTACATGATTATAACCATTTTTTTTTAAGTTTGGTTACGTACTGTCAGGTGTTCTTTACTCAACCCTAATCTAAGAATCGTTAATTGTGTATGCATGCCTTCCTCTCGCTAATAAACCAAAGAAAACTACCATAATCAACAACAATATATGGATGTGATAGTAGATGATTTTACTTACCTTTCCGGCGCTTTACTGCTAAGTAAATGATGAATAAAGAGAACAGCAGAAAGAAAATTCCGATGACTGTCCCATATATAACGTCTTTATTGACTTTATCTGGTTCAGATGGAATAGTTGCTGAAAAATCTAGATTTGAATTAAGTTACATCACATTTAATCCTGAAATGAAGCATCACCAGCCGTGGCTGCAAAATAATATTCAATTTAAATAGAACTGAACCAATTACCTTGTCATGGGCACTGTAGAGCAACAAGTGAGGTAATTTAATATGAAAAAGGTTGTTGAATTCTGGTTAATAATGAAATTTATCATCCTCTGTGTCACCTCGCGATAAGACCAAAGTATGCAGTTTTAAATTACGTGTTTGGTGTTTTCAGAATTACGTACAAAAAGGTCAACACGCGGAAAAAGTGGCTGGTTTGTTGACCTGTCGAAAAGATTAGTTCAGTTCAGTCTTCACAAGTTTTGCTTGAAGGTTCTGACCAGAAGATTCACACTGAAGTGAATTGCCAAATTCCGGTGGACGACTCTTTGTTAATGAGTATTTTAACGGCTAGCTCCGCTTTTAGGCTTGGTGTACGCTGGACAAAACTGTTCTGGATTGAAGTTTTATAAGAACTAAAACAGGAAAACCGATGCAAATAATTTTGTGATTGTCACGTTCCACAACCGATGGAACTAGATTATTGCAATGAACGGATACGACACACGAATCCAATCTAGAAGTCCGCCATGCTGCTTTAATAATCAACTTC